CTGACTGGTACAGGAGACTGCCCCTCCTTCTCCAGCAGAGCATGAAGTAGAGTCTGGGATTTCCCCCCCACCCCCACCCCAGGTGCCTGTCAGGGCCTGGGTTTCAGCTGTCCATACCACAGCAGTGGGCAATGAGCTTAAAGCCCCTGATGGCTCTGGGCGCTGACTCTCACCAGTGGCTATGGATGAAGTCACGGGTCCTTATTTTTTAAGAATAACTTGAGTGCACCTTGAACTTCTCCCTTCATTACCATTAGTTCTTAATTATATGCTACTTTCTGAAATGATTGTGTTGGCCAATTTATAGTGGTACAGTGACTCTATATATTCCTTCCGTCTTCTTTTAAGGCTTCCTGCATCATTCCTTCCATCTTCTTTTAAGGCTTCCTGCATCGTTTACCCATGGTATTTTCCAGTATTGCATATTAAGATTTTACTTCAGTTCTTTCAGCTTGAGAAAACCAGACATATTCTTGTCTTTTGGTTCTCTAGTCCAAAACTTTTGCACATTTAATTAACATACTTTGATTTGTCTTCTTGAACTTCCCTTTGAAATCTTCTTTCCTATTATCTTACTTTAATATTTAAATGTAGTTCTTGCGTGTTCAAGAAGAGCAAGATAAAAAAACAAAGAGCTCGCTTCCCCCTCCGAAGAGAGAGAAAAAAATTATTTTCTAGATTTTTTTAAAGAAAATTTTTATTTTATACTGGTTTTAAAAAAACAAAACAAACAAAGAGCAAGGTTTCCAAAATGGATTGCATCTTGTGTAATAGATCAACCCCATGTACAATAGATGGAACCCTGCTTGGTCCTGCACTACTTCCACTGTACTGTCAGCCCACTGTTGCAGTCACTGTGACAGTCCATCGTTCAGAGGGACTTCATTTCTTTTACCAACCCTCTGCTTTCCCAAAGATGTTGTCATTTCCATGGACTGGTCCTTCTTGATAAAGTATGTTTTCTGGCCCAAAGTGTATTATCTATTGGGTAAGCCCTAATTCAAATTACAAGTATTCTATAAGAGGTGAACTCAGACACAAATGAGAAGGCTAATGAAGATAGAGGCAGAAACCAGAGTGATGTAGCCACTTAGGAATTCGACAGCAATTGAAGTTGGAAGATGCAAGAAACAGATTCTCTATTCTGAACTTCAAAAGGAAGTTTGGACTTCTAACATTCAGAACTGTGAGGAAAATAATTTGTTTGTAGTAATTTGTTGCTATCCAGTTTGTGGTGATTTATTGTGGCATTCTAGAAAATTACTGATGTCCACGTATGCTGTGCAAGCCCTTGTTATTGTTGTGACCCTGGTCACTGAATCAGTCCTTCTCATCGAGGGTCTTTCTTTCCTGCACTGTCCCTCAACCCTCACAAGTATGGCATCCCTCTCTAAGAACTGATCTTGCCTTGTAACATGTCCAAAGTACCTCAGACGAAGCTTCAGAATCCTTGCCTCCAAGGAGAAGCCTGGTGGCACCCTCTCTATGACGAACCTGTTTGTTCTCCTACTTGTGCATGGTATATTCAATACTCTTCTCCAGCACCACAGCTCAAAGGCATCAATTCTCCTTCTATCATTCCTCATCATCTATAAGAGCCCTACTTTTCTTTTTTGCAATTCTCCCTTTAGCTCACACCAATTCATCCACCTAAGCCTTGTTTCCACTCCTGGAATAAGTGATTGAGTTGGAACTTGCTCTTCCCTCTAAGTGGAATGACTGCTCTCTTTCTACTAAGTTCTTGGTCCCAAAGTCACTTTTAGTGGAGCGTTCTTCAACACCCAATCTAAAAGATTGCCACCAACTCTTGATTCCTGGTGACTGCTCAGTATCAATGCATGGAATGAAGGAATCAGTGTTTTAGTTACAGCTTCAAGTACCAGGTTTACCCCAGCATTAACGGAGGTAATTCTACTCATAAGTAAACATTTAACTTGGGGCATAACTTGATATACTCAGTGTTGAATACGACACGGGCAGAGTGGAGGCTTAACCTAAAAACTGACCATACTTATTACTGTTGAGTCATCTCTAACTCATGCATAGGACAAAACAGAATTTCCTTGAAGAGTTTCCCAGGCTGTACCGCCTAGGGAGGCAGACTGCTGCATCTTCCCACAGGAGACCTGTTGGTTGGTTCAAATAGCATTTCAGTTAGCTGCCTAGTGCTTCAACACTGAGGTGAGACTCCATAACAGGAGACAACACAAAACCAAGCCCACTGCCCCTTAGTGGATTCTGACTCATGGTGAGAGCTGTAAATCTTAATTAGAGGACACTTCCCATCTTGCTTCTGATAAGCAGTTGGTGGGTTTAAAGTCAAAGCGCAACATGTAACACTCTGACTACGTCAGGTTGCCTTTACTAGGAGTTAAAGGGAAATCTGTATAAGCAAGTGTGAGGAAGTTGGGAAGAGCCCATAACCCCCGCTGGACAGGGAAGCAAAGCATTTGGCTGTCGCAGGTGTGGGAGTAGAAAGAAATGAGGTCACCGTGACATATTTAGGACAGATTGTGAAGAATCTTAAGTCTCACGTAAGGAGTTTTATTCCCTCCCTCCCCCCAAGTTGATTTTTCACTCTGAGACTGAGAGCTTCTAAATTGTGCAGGATATCTTCCAAAAGATGCTTGAGAAGTTCATGCAGTTTGAGTCTTTAGGATACAGGGAAGTGAAGTGGTAGGAGAGCCAGGTAAGAGACGATTCAAGTACAATTCTGTCTCTGATTAACGGCTTTAGCTGGTCTAGGAATGCATCTGGTGATTTTACAAAAAACCCAACACTTCCAAAATAGTGAGTTTGCTGTTTGAAAGGTAAGGAGGTAAAGTACACATTCTAAGTCCTTAAAATCTTGCCAGCATTACCTCTGAACTACATCTAGAAATCACCCAGTCTTATTACTTCCACCTCTGATACCTTCTTCATTCACTGACACTGACATTTCTCACCCATTTATTTTAATTGTTCTCTTGTTTTCCTTCCTCTCCCGCTCTTGCTCTAACACGCAACATTCTCTCAGCAGCCAGAGATATAAGTTAGTTGATACCACTCTGCTGAGAACCCATTAATGGCCTTCCTTTTCTATAGAACATGATCCCCAGTCTTGATCTGGTCTCCGATCTGTTTCTGTGCTTCCCTGCTTACCTCTCCCTGCCTCACTCCTTCTGTTCCAGCAGCACCTTCTTCCTTGTGCTGTGACATACCGTGCTTCTAAGCCTTTGCATTTCCTGCTCCCTCTCCTAGAATGCTTGTTTGCTGAGGAATCCATGCTTAATCCCTCCTTTTGCAGAAAGGATATTCAGTGAAATAATAACATAAAATTTTCTCAATTCTGACCTCTTACACTTTACTTGAAAGCTCTGGTGGCCTCATGGCAAGAATGCTTCACTGTAATCCCTAAGGCATATGGTATGAATCCAGCAGCTGTTCTGTGGGAGAAGGATGGGCAATCTCCTCCCATGCAATAAGTGCCTCTGAAAACCCACTGGAGGGTCAGCTATGGGTCCGTTCTGACTCTATGGTACATAACAACACTTTATTTAGCTTTCACTTTATCAATTGACTGCCATTTCCCCTTCCAAAGCATTTGTTTCAGAGGCCGAAGACATTTTGTTTACTGTAGTATCCCCAGGTCTTAGTACAGGGCCCGAAACAAGGAAGGCTTTCACTAAATATCTGTTGTATTATATAACCTTTGGATGCTGACTACCTAGGCCTCGTAATACTTGCTCTGTCTCTCTCTTTGGCTGAGAGAAAAGTGAAAATCAGGAAACACTGGCCCCTGAGCTCCCTATTAAAAGAAGAGGAGACAGAAAAATCAGACAAGTGGATACACTTGCTAACGCTGTTTTGATAGGTATTGTTTAATCGAAAAATAAACCCTTTTTACGACAGTTGTTATTAAGTGCTCTCAAGCTGTCTCTGTTTCCATAACATTATGAACAACAGAGCCTGGCCTGTCCTATGCCTTCGTGACAAGTTCTACCCTGCCCTTGCTTGCTCAAACCCGTTATATTAATGTATCTCATTGAGGAATTCTTATTTTTTAATGATCCTCTGCTTTCCCCTCTCGATGTCTTTCTCCAAGGACTGTCTCCTCTTGACAGCATGCCCAAAGCTTGTGACCTGATGTTGTATCATCCTTTGCTCTTATGAGTACCTTACTGTACATCCTCCGAGACAGATTTATTTATTCTTTGGTACTTGTAGTATATTCAACATTTTTCACCACCTGTTCACCACAATTCAACAGCATCAACTCCTCAGTATTCCTTAGAAGATGTAAGCTTATGGCTTAACACGTAATGATCCCATTAAACAGATAATGCTAGTGGCGTATCAAAGTCCAAGCTCTCCACGTTCTTGATACTTGCTAGACAGTGTTTCTCAAGCAGCCATGTGACTGAGCCAGTGGAATGTAGCTGACACCATGAGTCATGCTGCCAAGCCTGTCTTGAAAACAATGTAAACCAAATAAAACAAATGGATTTGTTTTTTTCTGTACATGAGCCTCTGTGTACTTACTCCCTCCTTCTGTAAGCTGGATGTCAGTTTTCAGGGACACCTGGCAGTCAAATGGGGAAGCTGACAAGGGTCTATCTGCTTGGGTCTTTGAATGACCCCCACTTTAGGCAGAAATGTCACTGACTTGACCACGTGCCTGTTGACTTTGAACCATTATGTATAGTTGTTGTTGTTGTGCACTGTCAAGTCGGAAAAGACCCGTAGCTGATCCTCCAGCAGGTTTTCAAAGGCACTCAATCCCATAGGAAGAGATTGCCCATCTTTCTTTCACGAGAAATTATAATTATGCATAGTAGGTTTATATAATACAATACTGAACAAAACAAAAACCATAGTCCGAAATTAAAATGTAGGTCACCTTGTAGATATATTTGCTGAAACCGGCCACTCTACACAGATCAGTTTTAAAATCTTAGCAGGGCTTCATATCACTTCATGCTCATGCCACTAGGGCCACTACTGTTAATCTTTGCTACCCCTGCTCTTCCTTGTTTGCTCTGTACCTTCTATAACAGCCTTCCTGCCTTTTCTGAAGAAAACTCACTAACATCCCCATGAAAAGGCTTTTAAACTTTCTATCCAATCAGACTGAAGGAAGATGGCTGGAGAGACTATTTCTTGGACTGAAAAGAAAAAGCAAAATAGTATAATAAAATGTCCAAAGACTAAAGGAAATGGAAAAGATGTGATGGGGACCTGAAAAGACAGGGTAATGGTGAGCATAGTCCAATGGTGATTAATTTTATAAAACACAACGTATGGAAATGATTGTATGAAGCATAGGCTCAATGAAGGAAAGTGTGAATCATGCCAAAATCCTCTCTACTATGTACATGAACGAAACACAGTGTGTATGAGTAATTATATGTACCAATAAATTTTTT